CGCCGGCGCTCGCCCTCGCGGCGTCTGCCTTGCGCAAACCCGACAAGGCTGCGGAGCTCCTGCTCCACCAAGACGTCCTCGGGGGGACGCTGTTCGGTGCCCGTCCGGACGTCGCCACCTTCCATCCAACCTTCTCCATCCCGTTCAACATCTCCAAGTTCAGCGGCGCCGCCTCGCGCGCCGCCGCCCCGACCACCGTCAAGCCCATCGGCGCCGCGGCCGACGCCGAGCTCGCCTCCTTTGGCGAGACCACCGGCGCGGTCAAGAATGGCGACGTCTCGCTCGCCGACTCCACCGCCAACTCCCTCCCTTCACAGAATGAGCCTGCCCCGGGCTTCATGGGTGCCCTCATGGGGTGCCTTGGCGTCTCTGTCGTGGCGCTGAGTTGGAGAGGCTCCACGGCCAGCAAGACCGGCCCCGACAAGGTCCAGAAGCGCTCGAGGCTCGCCAAGAAGATCGAGGACATGGCAATGGCTGGCAGCACTGGTGTTTGCCGCACTCAGATCTTCTTCTACTTCTTCTGCTTTGTCGCAATGGTCGGCCTGTGCGGCGTGACCTTCGAGGCCTTCGTCGTGAGGTACACTCGGGGGCGCGGCGCTGCTGGGAAGGCCCGGAGGCTTGTCGAGACGGGCCTCGCCGGCGCGGGAGCTTTGCGGCTGGGGCGGGTCGCCTCGCTCGAGCCATCCCGATCCGCCGCACAAGTCCGCGTGGCCGCCGCCGCGCTGCTCGTCGGCAGGGTGGCCGCGTCTGCCACGGATCCATCAGGTGAGCTCCTGCCGTCAGCGGCAGCTCTCTCACCGGAGCCACCACACCATGGCCGAAAGCTCTCTCACTGCGAAGCCAGTGGCCTCTGTGGCTACTGCTCCGCTTGCCCAACTTGCAGTGGCGTTGGCGGCAGCTGCTCCTCTTGCTGCCCTCAGCGCTCACCCCCACCGCCCTCTCCGACACCGCCTCTTCTACCCGACATGGTGCAGCTGGGCTGCGATTTCGAGGTCGACACTTGCATCTGGAACGACACCGCGCCGGACGGGTACACTTGGACGCGCACGAGCGGCGGCACGCCGTCTCCAGGCACAGGCCCGAGCGGCGACCACACCACTGGCTCGGGCTACCACATCTTCACCGAGGCCACTGGAACGTACAACAAGCTGCACCGGCTCGAGAGCCCGCGCTTCTCGCTCCAGCAGGACGCCACCCTCTCCTTCTTCTACCACATGTACGACTCTTACAGCTCGGACATGGGCACCCTCTCCGTCGAGACCTACAACAACGAGACGGGCTGGTCGACGCTCTGGAGCAGGAATGGCAACCAGGGCAATAGCTGGCTCGACGCGGCGGTCATCCTACCCGCCTCGACGACTCAGGTGCGCTTCAACGGTGAGACGGGGCCGGGCTGGAGCTCGGACATGGCGCTGGACGACGTCTCCTTCTCGCAGTTTGCGCCTCCGTCGCTGCCGCCTCTTCCGCCCTCTCCGCCACCTCTTCTACCCGACATGGTGCAGCTGAGCTGCGATTTCGAGGGTGACATGTGCGTCTGGAACGACACCGCGCCGGACGGGTACACTTGGACGCGCACGAGCGGCGGCACGCCGTCGCCAGGCACAGGCCCGAGCGGCGACCACACCACTGGCTCGGGCTACTACATCTTCACCGAGGCCACTGGAACGTACAACAAGCTGCACCGGCTCGAGAGCCCGCGCTTCTCGCTCCAGCAGGACGCCACCCTCTCCTTCTTCTACCACATGTACGACGCCTACAGCTCGGACATGGGCACCCTCTCCGTCGAGACCTACAACAACGAGACGGGCTGGTCGACGCTCTGGAGCAGGAATGGCAACCAGGGCAATAGCTGGCTCGACGCGGCGGTCATCCTACCCGCCTCGACGACTCAGGTGCGCTTCAACGGTGAGACGGGGCCGGGCTGGAGCTCGGACATGGCGCTGGACGACGTCTCCTTCTCGCAGTTTACGCCTCCGTCGCCGCCGCCGTCGCCGCCGTCGCTGCCCCCTCCGCCGCCGCCCTCTCCGCCGCCGCCGCCTCTGTCGCCTCTGCCGCCGCTCTCCCCGGACTTTGTCGCCGCGTCGAGCGAGGCTAAGCTCCGCTCCCTGATCGCGGAGGCTGCTGTTTCGCAAGCCGACGTCTCAATCTACCTGCCGCCCAGGGCAGACTTCAAGCTGGGCAGCCATATCAGCTGCGGCTCCGACATCAACGTGACCGTCGCGAGCAGCGGCGAGGGCGCGACGCTCGACGGCCAGGAACAGACCAGGCTCTTTTACCTGTCGGGCGGCTGCAGCCTCACCCTGCGGGGGCTGACCCTCGTCAACGGGAGGACGAGCATTTACGGCGGCGTTGTGTACGCGGACGGCGCAGGCGACGTCGAGATCATCGAGTCGACGGTCAGAGATTGCTCGGCTTATGTGCGCCGCGTAGAGCTAGCCGCGCCCATGCAGCGCCGCACGGCAGCGAGGCGAGAGATAGAGAGGGCCACGGCTGCCTCACCCCGCTCTCTCCTCGCAACCGCAGAACGGCGGCGTCGTCTACGCGTCTAGCAGCGGTGCGGTCTCGATCATCGACTCGACGGTCAGAGACTGCTCTGCTGTCTCTGTGCGCCGCGTAGAGCTAGCCGCCCTGCAGCGCCTCACGGCAGTGGGGCGAGAGATGAAGAGGGTCCACGGCTGCCTCACCCCGCTCTCCTCGCAACCGCAGTCCGGCGGCGTCGTCTACGCGGATCAGAACAGCGGTGTGGTCTCGATAATCGACTCCGATGTGAGGGACTGCTCGGCTGGCAATGTGCGCCGCGTAGAGCTAGCCG